TCGAAAGCTTTCTTTAAATCAACAAAAATGCAGATTGAAGGGATTCTGTTATCAATATTTTGATGTATTTGATTTACAATTTTAGTTATTGCGTCCGATGTAGCCTTCCCTTCTGTAAATCCATATTGATTTTCACTTAAAATTTTGAATTTTGTGAGGTATCGAATCATTCTAGTAGATAAAACTTTTTCAAAAACCTTTGCTACACTGGATATTATTGATATTGATCTATAGTTGTTAACATCTGTTTTTGTTCCTGATTTATGTATCGGTATTATATTACCTTTTTTTAAAATTGAGGGATATATGTCAGATTCAAAGCATTTGTTGATTAGGTAAGTGAGTGGTTCTGTTATGTCCTCGGCTATAATTTTCAAATGCTCGCTTTTAATACCATCGAACCCAGGACTTTTCCGATTTTTTAAGGACATAACAGTGGTGTATACTTCACATTGCTCGACTTTATCCAAAATAAATGAGTTCAAAGTTCTTTTTGGAGGCTGAGTATTTTGTACATTTGCTTGTATATTACTTGCTAAATTTTCGCCTATGTCAGTAAAGAATTGTACAAATTCATCGCATATCTGTTGAGTATTTTTTAATACTGTTCCCGATGTTGTATTTAACTCAGTGACACACTCTTTAACTTTTGTTTTCCCAGTAATCTCATCAATAGTTGTCCAAAGCCGCTTAGGATCATTTAAGTTATTATTCAATTTAATTAGGTAATGTTTTCGTTTGGTTTGCCTTACAAGCTCTATAAATTTATTTTTATATTGGTTGTAGCAGTCGGTATTCTCTGTAGTTGGCGTTAGTTTCATTACATTATATAGTCTTTCTTTTTCTATTGCCGATGTTATTAATCCTTTGGTAATCCAGGCATTTCTGCTTTTCTCTTTGTGACTAATTATTACTTTATTGGTACTAATATCTATTAGTTTTTTTATTTTCTCTATGAACAGTCCCGTTGCTTTTTCTATATTATTTATAGAGTATAATTGTTCCCAGGATTCTTGTTTGACATTTGATATTAGTTTTGAATTGTCGACAAAAAATTTGTAATTTTCCTGGTTGTTACTAACGGTAGGGATGTTAGAATAATTTTCATTTGAAGATATCAGTAAAATAGTGGAGAAGTAGTCAGTAATATCGCTTTCTAGGATTATTGGTATACAAGTAATTTTGTTGGATAGGCCTTTCACAAAGCAGTGATCTATACATGTGCCACCGATATAAAAAATAAAGGCCTTTAATGCTCGAAATGCTGAATTTTTCTATAAGGGGAACAATTTATACTAAACACACTCTCTAATGAATCAATGCTGAGTCGCCCTACTTGACGCCTTTATTAATCTTTAAGCAGTGTTGGCCCTGGGAAAACGTTCGTCCACAAAAACGGCTCTGTTTACATTGTCCCAGCGGAATTAAAATTACACCCAGTTATTCTCCTCGCGCTTTCAAAATTGATATTCAGATTACAGCCAAAAACTCTTCAACTTCAACATTTAATATTAATAAAATTACGTGAATTTTGGTTGACTCTGGAGAGGCAGTTACTCAGAGAGCCGTAAAATGTTGAGAAATGAAGTTTTTGTTTACAACCTAATTAAGTTCCAGCGAGAGAATTAATCCTGCAGGTATCAGGGAATAAGCTGGTTATTTTTGGGGCAAGATATTTTGTTTAGAAATTAATTAAGAAAGGAACATAAAGAAATTGTATTTGAATTTCATTAACTGGACTTCAAAGACGTCACCTTATACAAGTTAACGTGCCCCTTTGAACGGCAAGATCAATTTTATGTACCGTCTGCCTTTACCAAAAAACGTGCAGCAAGTAAGTTGACTCTGTACTTCATCAGACATGAAGGATTATGGTTGGTACAAGTTGAGAAACAATCTAGCTACGAACATGAGCAACTGAAACGTCAAAAATGTAGATATAAAAACAGTTGAGTCAGCATTTACAAAAGCATCGTAGAACGCTAAAGTGGTACGTACTCCCAATATCCAAATGTTGCTAAAATACAGTGCTTTTCTTTAATGTTTTAGTTTTTTTAATTGATCCGCTCATAGAATCAAAAGGGAGAGGAACATTAAAGACTGGTATGCGGTGTGTCAGTGACGACACCACCGCATACCAGTTGGCGATGCACAGGCGGAAGTCGCCTGCACGACGATGCAGCATCGCGCCATGCACGCAACGCCAACGAGTGCCGCGTTATTTCGAATAATGAGCACATTATACAGGGTGGACAACTAAGAATGCGAGGTTCTGTATCTGGAAGACTATTCATCGACAAAAACAGTTATTACTAAAACCGCCAAGAGAAAAATTTGGAAAATGTTTTCAAGTTTCTGAAATGGTAGCTAGGTTGCGCAACTGCAATCTTGGAATGAAGAAGTGAAATTTCTGTGTATTCTGATATGTTACCCTAACAAAAAAAATATTAAATTCGGAGATAATTTGAACCTTTTTTGTTTGACAATTTTTGCTATATCTAAAAATAAACTGGGGGGTATTTAAAGGTTTGCGTAAAAAACACCCTGTATCTTCGAAACGGCTGAGCCGATTTTAACAAACTTAGGCTAGTTGAAAAGAAATATTATTGGGCTATAAATATTATAATATTTCAAGTTTCGTTATTTTCACATGTTGCCGCTAGGTGGCTTTTTTCGACATTCCCAAAAAAAAATTAAAAGCGTTGGTATGAATTTTTTCTTGAAAAAGTTGCTAAATCATGTCTCGATATCTTCTTCCTAACCTAAAATTTAGGTCAAAGAAAATTTTTATACTGAGATCCCTTGAATTTTTATTTTTTTAAACTAATTTTTCTGGAATTGAACCCTGTACGTCTATTCCATGAATAAGCAAAATACTTGCATGTAATTTCTAATTATATGCCCATTATTTTATCTTAATAACGTAATGTATTCAACAGTATATTGGCCACTGGGAGATGTATATTTTTATAAGCAGGTTGACTTTATAGTAGTACATATACTAAGTGACATATAAATCCGAACACCCAGTTTAAATGGTTTTATTTTAATAAAAGTTGGTGAATGTATTTATCTTACTGTAAATAACAAGTGAGAAAATGTTCAGCCTTATCAGTTGGACATTCCGGTTTTTATACTGCTGTTTTTTAATTCACTAACGCTCTAAAAATGAATATTTCAGCCGCAGTAAAGAATCAACGTTGGCGGATTTTGGTTCTTGACATCCTTTACGATCGGTTACGATGCCTAGAGTACGGAGACCTGTACGATTTCGTCAACTTAGTGAGTTTGATAGGGGCCGTATAGTGGGACTTCGGGAAGCTGGACTTTCTTTTCGGTAAATTGCAGTTAGAGTGCAAAGAAGTGTAGACACTGTGGTTAGGTGTTGTCAGGCATGGCTTCGAGAAGGCCGTACGCAAAGAGCAAGGGGCACTGGACGCCGCCGTAGAACAACAGACCGTGAAGATCGCCGCCTAAGATTATTGGCCTTAAGGGACCGTTTCTCCACTACCAGGTCCATTGCAAATGAATGCTTTGCAGAACACGGAAGACTTATTGGCATGCGAAGTGTTTACCGACGAATGAGAAGTTTTGGATTGTTTTCATACCGGCCACACTGGGTCCTCCCTTTAACTCGAGAACACCGACGTAATCGCCTTGAGTGGTGCAGACAACGGTCACTCTGGGATCAGGAATGGAACAGTATTGTCTTTAGTGACGAGTCTCGATTTTGTTTAGGCATGCACGATGGTCGTGCCAAGGTTAGAAGGCGACGTGGTGAAAGGAGGAATCCACAGTTTTTTGTTGAAAGACATGTTCATCACACTGTTGGAGTTATGGTTTGGGGTACTATAGCTTATGGTTCCAGGTCACCTTCAATCTTCATCAGAGGTAACATGAACGCGCAGCGTTATATCCACGAAGTTCTAGAACCCCATCTTTTACCCTGGCAGATCCAACTTTCCAACAAGATAATGCCCGACCACATGTTGCAAGAGTCGCAATAGACGTCTTTCAACATAATGATGTCTCATTGTTACCATGGCCACCAAGATCTCCCGACTTATCCCCAATTGAGCACGTGTGGGATATGATGGGTAGGAGATTGCTCAATTTCATCCGCACATTATTAAAGGTCAAAGGGCTTTAAAGCAGTGCAATCATTTTGAAATTTTTATCATTTACTTATTATGCTTCATTACAAAATTTTATTAAAATAAAACTATTTAAACTGGGTGTTCGGATTTATATGTCACTTAGTATAATTTTAAACACATTGGTATGAGTTTTTTTTATGAAAAAGTAGCTAAATGATGTCTCGATATCTTGTTCCTAATCTAAAATTTTATACGGAAATCCCATGAATTAACCAATTTTTTTGGAATTGAACCATGTACGTCTGTTCCATGATCCAATCTAAGATCAAAGGTGGCATATTTATCAATATCCTGTTCTCTTTTTTTCTCTACCTTATCTCCACAGGCAGAATCGAAAAAGAAATAATCCTTAATAACATTCGCGGCATTCATATTACACAAATCAAAACGAGCGGCATTTCTACTGAAAGAGTTCATCTTGGAAGTTGGGAGTATTCACGGATGGGCGCCAAATGAGATTGTTCTAGAAATTTAGAGAACAGAGAGAACAGACAAGCGCTTATTGCGATCTGATAGCAGAATTCTTTCCGTCTTTGTTTAGTATTCATGAGAACTGGACCGATGACACTTTAGATTGAAGATAGTAGGAAAAAATGCGCCCCAACTCTGTTATTGATTTAAAAAAATGTTGTCAAGTAGATCAACTCTACGCTTCCTATATACTACTGTGATCAATTACTGAAGCTACTATTTACACTTGGCGATATTAGAAGATCAAATAATGCAAAACGAATAAATGCAAATGTCCCCTTTAACAGACTGGTCTCCTCTAGGACAACAACAATAACGTTAACAATATTTTCTACCCGAAGTGTAAGACTCTTCTGACATTTTTCTCCATTCTTGCAGATAGAAGCTAAATGGCGACTACAACGCGTCTCAACAACCATTTCGTACATCGAATCAGCAGCACTGACCCGAAAAAGCCACGTAGGATGAGCCTTGTCCCTCGAGTCTGTCTGACCTGTCGATAGACCACCGCCAAGCAAAGTGAGGATTATGGAATACGAAGATTTTGCGGCGAACTCAACGTTATCCGAGAACAACGCAACGTCTATCGTTGAATCGCCAGAGCAGGAATGGACCAGCTCGTTTCTGCTGTTTTTCAAAGCCTCCATTATGGGTAATGGCAACATCTCTACAGGGTGTTTCAGTTTATTGTTGCAAAACTAAAGTCTATATAAACATGGGTCGAAAAATGCGTGGCTTCCGAAATACAGGGTGTTTAAATTTGCTTTCTAAAATAGTTTTTTTTAAATATTTCGAACAGTATTTGATGTATAACAGTGAAAATTGGTATGCAAGGGTTTTTAGGTACAACAAAACGAACCATGGGCATAGTTTTACTGTAGCCGCTAGAGGGCGCTCTCTACTGCACCTGTAGTGTATTAAAATGACCGAAATTTTTTTCTTAGTGCAATTTTTTACTTTTTGAAAAAACTGATTCTTCGCTCTTTTCAACATAAAAAATCTCTCTTGTGAATTTTCGATATAGTTAGCCGTTTTTGAGATATTTCGATTTTTAGGGTTCGATGCATTTTTAATTATTTATGATAAAATAACGTTAAAAAGCCAGTATCTCGATAATTTTTAGAAGTAGGCTGTGCCTGCAAATATTTTTGAAATTGAAAGCAGAATAAGGTTAAACGTCAATTAGTTGACAGTTAGTTTTGTTGTCTGTTGAAACCTGAAACGTTTTTTTGCAATTGTGAATGCATGAAATTTAGTTTCTTTGCATGAAAATCCGCATGAAGTTCGGGAAAGAAATTTTCAGCATGAATTTGGTGTGAACGTATGGATTGGTATCTGCCGTAATCGACTATTTGGACCCTACCTTTTGCCTGCAAGGTTAAATGCTGCGACCTTCTTGGAATTTTTAAAGGCTGAACATGCAAATATGTGGGATGATGTTATGTTAGATTTAAGAAGATTGGCCTGGTTCCAGCTTGATGGTTGTCCAGCTCATTATTCGAGAATAGTTAGAAACTGGCTGGACGAAAATTATCCAGAAAGATGGATCGGCCTTGGAGGACCAGTCGCCTGGCCTCCACGATCCCCTAACCTAAATCCATTAGATTTCTTTGTGTGGGGATTTCTAAAAGAAAAAGTGTACCAGACTCCCGTAACCTCAAGAGATATGCTAATAGACAGAATCAGGAATGCATGTGATGAAATAAGGCCTTATTTGAATAATGCTATACCACATTCGATCATTCGTAGATGTGAATTGTGTATTGAACAATCGGGTTTCCATTTCGAGCAACTAATTTAAATTTTGTATGTTTGTCCTAACTATCCAATAGCATTTTAGTTGTAAATAATTAATTTAATTTGTTAAAAATAATATTGGAAAACTAAACAAATTAATATACCGTTTTTTGTGTTTATTTGGAGTTAGGAATTATTGCTGTGTTTAAAAACACAATCTAAACGATCATCTTAATTACTTGTAATGCCCAAATCGAAAATGTAAAAAAAAATATTATTTTCCATAAATATTAAAAAATGCATCGAACCTTAAAAATCGAAATATCTCAAAAACGGCTAAATGTAACGAAAACTCACAAGAGAGCTTTTTTATGCAGAAAAGTGCGAAGAATCGGGTTTTTTGTTCAAAATCAAAAAATTGCACTAAGAAAAAATTTCGGTCATTTTAATACACTACAGGTACAGTAGAGAGCGCCCTCTAGAGGCTACAGTAAAACTATGCTCATGGTACGTTTTGTCGTACCAAAAAACCATTGTATACTAATTTTCACTGTTATACATCAAATATTGTTCGAAATATTTAAAAAAAAACTATTTTAAAAAGTAAATTTAAACACCCTGTATTTCGGAAGCCACGCATTTTTCGACCCATGTTTATATAGACTTTATGCATTAATTTTAAAAGTTCTATCGAATCTTAAAGTTATGCAACAATAAACTGAAACACCCTGTATACGAGCCCTAACACAAAAATTTTCGGACATTGTCTAATTGTGTCTAAAAGTTTGTTCATAAGACAATGATATACGAGTATAACATCCCATAAATAGATATTCCCAAAATGTATTTGTTTATAAGTAAAATTCCGTCCCAGCATGGATGGGCCACCCTGTATATTGTTATCAGTAAAATATTTACTTTAGACAAAAGAAAAGCCGTTGCTTAAGGAAAAACAAAAAAGAAGCGATTAGCGGGCAATGTGAACTTACGAAGAGTGGAAAAACATCATTCTTAGCGATGAATCGATATTTGATGTTTTTGTAGGTGACCGATCTCGGCTCATAAGAAACGATATCATAAAGACACACTGAAGAGAAAAGCAAAGCTTCCATCAGGTTTAATGGTATAGGGAAACGTATCTGCTTTTGGCGTTGGGAAACTTCGTACACTGCACTTGTAAACTAAGCTAAATATCAAAATATCCTTGACACTAATTTCAATTTGGCACCTGGCATAGACTTTTCAGCAAGTTGGGGCGTTGCGTCATAGGGTCAAAATCAGGAAAAAATGATTGCAGGATAATAACATTTCCGTCCTTGACTATTATCGAAATTGTAGTACACAAAATGAAACAGCAGTTAAAAAGTGATCCACAACGGAACATTTTTGATTTACGAGTAAAATTACAAAATATGTAGGATGCTCTTAAGGCTGAAGGCTGCGGAAGCATTTTAAAACTATTCGAGCCAGAATTAATGCTGTTATTAAGGCAAAAGGAGGCGTAACGAGTTATTGAAATGGTTCGTTCGAACATTTATGTCAGCCAAATATTATTGTTATCAATATTAGTTTAGCTTTATAGTTTAATATCATATTACTTGGTAATGATTTTATTAAACCAAACTATATATACTAAGTGACATATAAATCCGAACACCCAGTTTAAATGGTTTTATTTTAATAAAAGTTTGTGAATGTATTTATCTTACTGTAAATAACAAGTGAAAAAATTTTCAGCCTTATCAGTTGGACATTCCGGTTTTTATACTGCTTTTTTTTAATTCACTAACGCTCTAAAAATGAATATGTCAGCCGCAGTAAAGAATCAACGTTGGCGGATTTTGGTTCTTGACATCCTTTACGATCGGTTACGATGCCTAGAGTACGGAGACCTGTACGATTTCGTCAACTTAGTGAGTTTGATAGGGGCCGTATAGTGGAACTTCGGGAAGCTGGACTTTCTTTTCGGGCAATTGCAGTTAGAGTGCAAAGAAGTGTAGACACTGTGGTTAGGTGTTGTCAGGCATGGCTTCGAGAAGGCCGTACGCAAAGAGCAAGGGGCACTGGATGCCGCCGTAGAACAACAGACCGTGAAGATCGCCGCCTAAGATTATTGGCCTTAAGGGACCGTTTTTCCACTACCAGGTCCATTGCAAATGAATGGTTTGCAGAACACGGAAGACCTATTGGCATGCGAAGTGTTTACCGACGAATGAGAAGTTTTGGCTTGTTTTCATACCGGCCACACTGGGTCCTCCCTTTAACTCGAGAACACCGACGTAATCGCCTTGAGTGGTGCAGACAACGGTCACTCTGGGATCAGGAATGGAACAGTATTGTCTTTAGTGACGAGTCTCGATTTTGTTTAGGCATGCACGATGATCGTGCCAGGGTTAGAAGGCGTCGTGGTGAAAGGAGGAATCCACAGTTTTTTGTTGAAAGATATGTTCATCACACTGTTGGAGTTATGGTTTGGGGTGCTATAGCTTATGGTTCCAGGCCACCTTTAATCTTCATCAGAGGTAATATGTACGCGCAGCGTTATATCCACGAAGTTCTAGAACCCCATCTTTTACCCTATCTTGACACCCTGGCAGATCCAACTTTCCAACAAGATAATGAACGACCACATGTTGCAAGAGTCACAATAGACTTCTTTCAACATAATGATGTCACATTGTTACCATGTTCACCAAGATCTCCCGACTTATCCCCAATTGAGCACGTGTGGGATATCATGGGTAGGAGATTGCTCAATTTGCAACGTCCTCCTCAGACTCTAGAAACACTTCGAGAGGAGTTGGTGGTTGGCTGGAATGAGATACCACAGGAGGACATTGACCACCTGATCAGAAGCATGCCTAGGCGCGTTGGAGAATGCGTAGCACATCAGGGTGTATCCACACATTATTAAAGGTCAAAGGGCTTTAAAGCAGTGCAATCATTTTGAAATTTTTATCATTCACTTATTATGCTTCATTAAGCACTTATACAAAATTTTATTAAAATAAAACCATATAAACTGGGTATTCGGATTTATATGTCACTTAGTATATAATATTACTTGATAATAATTTTGTTAATATGTCCAAACTATATATTTCAATGTCTTAACAAATTATTTTGTAACCTTAAAAACATAAACAAACTTTAAGATAAAATTAGATAATATCCGAACTATTTTGTGTTGGGGCTCGTAGTATACCGAGTGTTTCAAATTCGACCCTCACCATTGGGACCCCGCAAACGGTGGGAAATACGAAGTCGCTTAAATGGGGGCAAAGTTGCGTACTCGTATTTAGGCAAATATTAGTACCTAATAAATGGCTCGTCAATCTAATATTGACTTCTAAATTTCCTTACTTTTAGATAATATGTAAATCTTTTCAAAATTGGTCATGCGATTTTTTCAACCTATTCTGTGGTCGAATCAACGTGATTAATACAAAAATACATAATGAACGTTTGTTGGGTACCAAGGTTTAAGAGATCTGTGGTGGAAACTAAACAAAACCATTCATCGTCGTTTTTTGTTTCAGGTACCATAATAATAGCTTCGATATTCGGCAACCTGCTTGTGATCGTGTCTGTGATGCGACATAGGAAACTAAGGATAATCACCAACTACTACGTCATCTCCCTAGCGCTGGCCGACATGTTGGTGGCGATGTTCGCCATGACGTTCAACGCTAGCGTGCAGATATACGAAAGGTGGTTGTTCGGGTAAGAAAACTTGAAAATTATCTCGCTAATAGAAAATAAAGCTTTCTTATAAGACAACCAATCAGGGCAGTAGCAGACAAAGAGTTATACAGGGTATTTCACCACTTATCCGACAAATTTTAACCATTTTAACCACCGCTCTCGTGCTCTTGGACTACTCCAAGGCATTTGATAAACTAAATCGCGAAATGCTGTCTGGTATTTTACACTATATAGGATTTTCCGAATCTGCTAGCACGCTTATGTGCCACTATTTAGCTAACAGAACACAATATGTAGAAACAGACAAAGGTATGTCCTCCAAAGATATCATCCCATCGGGTATTCCACAAGGCTCCATTTTAGGACCTCTGATTTTTACTATTTATACCTCAAACCTTTCCCAATGTCTCCGAAGTTGTCAGGTACATTTGTATGCTTTATTTTTCTTTCAATCCTAATGAGAAACGTGACGCATTGGCCATTATTAATCGAGATATTGAGAGATTAGTTGTATTTTCGGAAAATCATGGTATACAGATTAATGCAAGTAAATCACAACTCATGTTATTTGGCAGATTGAAAGACAATGTTGAGCCCACCTTTCATGTCAAAATGAAAAGTGAATCTATCTTGAACTGCCACTGTGAGAAATTTGAGAGTAGAATTTGAGTCATATCCAAGATTGCTCATCGATATGTCCTCCCTGTTAAACTTAAAATTCCTATTTAAAATAAGTACGAGATATTTCCTTATCTTTCTTCAAGAAAAACGCTCCAATAGCTATTTTCAACAACAAAATTATAAACAAACCATGGGCGTAGTGAAAAAAAGCATTTACTTATTAAGTAAATTCTTTTAGTCAAATTTCTTCTGAAACTAGTACAAACCAATCTGATGTACCTATTAAAGTCTACTTTAAGCTTTAAATCAATAAATCTTCAAAACTACTGAACTGAAGCTCATGTATTTTACATCATTATAAAGGGAATTGAAAGACCTTTAAAATAAGGTATCACTCGACCCCCCTTTCCATTTAAGATTTTGGGGGTGGTGTCACCCCCGCTTAGGGGGCTGCACGTGCTAACGTGATTTTTTGCCAAACTTGTGTCCCCCTCGAAAACAAAATCGACGGTATGCGCCACCCTGAATGTGTGAATATACAGGGTGTCCGCAAAGTTGGGGTTTTCATTTACACGACGTGTAGATCTTGAAAACATAAGCAATTTTTCTTAGTACCATATACACCAATGTCTTAAGGGAACCGAGATAAAGGGCTCTGCAACATCAAAAATATCTGAATACCGTCCTGTAGCCGCAACTCGCGACATCCGCGACTGGTACTAGGACACTAGCTCAACCCGACGACAGAACTGGGTCGGGGGTCGGGGTCAGTGTGTCAGGTCAGTATGCAACCTTCAACCGACGGTTACGGTCACGCGTGTAGAGGTAAACGAACCCGTATAATCGATTGCGTTTCAAAAAACAACAAGCACTAGAGACGTGGCTAGAGAAGTGCAAGTATCAAAAACTAAAGTGTGGCAAACGCTGCGTGAAGAGGGGCTGTATCCGTTTCACGCCCAACGTGTACAAGCCCTTCAACCTGAAGATTTTCCAGCAAGAGTGCGGTTTTGTGAGTGGTTGTTGCATCAACATGACAATAATCCGGACTTTTTGAAGTGCATATTGGTGACAGACGAATCTACGTTCACGCGTAATGGGGTGAATAACTTTCGCAACACTCATGTTTGGTCAGTAGAAAATCCGCACGCTGTCCGTCGGGCACATTTTCAACAAACATTTTCGGTGAATGTTTGGGCTGGCATGGTGAACGGTATGCTCATTGGACCATTTATTCTCCCAAATCGATTGGAAGGGATGCAATACCTAGACATTTTACGCAACATTTTGCCTTCCTTGTTAGAAGATGTGCCATTAAGTGTAAGACAATCAATGTGGTTTCTGCACGATGGTCATATTTGTTACCTCTGTTCGTGGTCTACTGGTCTGCACCACCGCCGGCGTCTGCTCGGTAGCGCATCAGCTGGTTTCATTTTCTGTTGAAGCGGTATGATTTCGGGCAGAGACATACTTAGCCCTTCTCGTCAACTGGAGAGTGAGTACTTTTTTCTTTAATTTTTTTTACTTGGTCGCCCCCGTTTCACTACACCTTTGTTATTTCAAGGGTAGTTGTTTCTGAAAAGGAAAACCCCAACTTTGCGGACACCCTGTATATATATATATATATGAATGTGTAATAGGTAAAGGGCTGAACTTGTATCATTTTTAACTGCCTTCAGCCCCTTTTTGTAACATATCTCATTTAAATGTATTTTGCTACTATTTTCACCAACTGTATGTTGCAAATAAACATTATAATTATTATTATTATATATGCACTGTTACGAAAGAAGTTGATTTCTCAAAAAAAAAATGTAATATAAAAGTTCTACAGAAATTAATTTATAAACCTGAGTTTCAATATTAAATTGAAAAATAAATATCTGATTTTGCGTTCATCGTAGTGATATTAGAATACGCATTAATAATTTATTGTAGCAAATGTTGTACCAAACAACTGACGAAAACAAAATACCAGAAATTTTTTGTTTTTTCATACTGATAAGAACGTGTAAATAAGGCTTAATCTGTATCGAGGATCATCAGGATGAAGAACGGTCAATTTTCTTTCAGAAATTCGTGATTTTTTGAATCAGGTATACCACATACGCTGGATCGGAAGGGGTGGACCAACTGCATGGCCTGCACGGTCTCCCGATCTAAATCCTCTGGACTTCTTTTCATGGGGGACTTGAAAAACGAGGTATACCGTACTCCAGTTCAGAATATTGAAGAAAGGCGTGACCGAATAGATAATTTGAGCTGCCAGGCACAGCAAGAAGGAGGTGTATTGTAGTCAATGGAAACAATTTTGAACAACTTTTATTAGTAAGGGAACTGTTAAACTGTATTATTTGATTATCTTGATTTCTGTAGAACTTTTATTACATTTTTTTTTGAGAAATCAACAACTTTCGTAACAGTGCATATGTAGTTAAAGTTTGTCCGATAAGTTGTGAAACACCCTGTATAGAGAATCTCAAAATATACTAAGTGACATATAAATCCGAACACCCAATTTAAATGGTTTTATTTTAATAAAAATTGGTGAATGTATTTATCTTACTGTAAATAACAAGTGAAAAAATTTTCAGCCTTATCAGTTGGACATTCCGGTTTTTATACTGCTTTTTTTAATTCACTAACGCTCTAAAAATGAATATTTCAGCCGCAGTAAAGAATCAACGTTGGCGGATTTTGGCTCTTGACATCCTTTACGATCGGTTACGATGCCTAGAGTACGGAGACCTGTACGATTTCGTCAACTTAGTGAGTTTGATAGGGGCCGTATAGTGGGACTTCGGGAAGCTGGACTTTCTTTTCGGGCAATTGCAGTTAGAGTGCAAAGAAGTGTAGACACTGTGGTTACGTGTTGTCAGGCATGGCTTCGAGAAGGCCGTACGCAAAGAGAAAGGGGCACTGGACGCCGCCGTAGAACAACAGACCGTGAAGATCGTCGCCTAAGATTATTGGCCTTAAGGGACCGTTTCTCCACTACCAGGTCCATTGCAAATGAATGGCTTGCAGAACACCGAAGACCTATTGGCATGCGAAGTGTTTACCGACGAATGAGAAGTTTTCGCTTGTTTTCATACCGGCCACACTGGGTCCTCCCTTTAACTCGAGAACACCGACGTAATCGCCTTGAGTGGTGCAGTATGGAACAGTATTGTCTTTAGTGACGAGTCTCGATTTTGTCTAGGCATGCACGATGGTCGTGCCAGGGTTAGAAGGCGACGTGGTGAAAGGAGGAATCCACAGTGTTTTGTTGAAAGACATGTTCATCACACTGTTGGAGTTATGGTTTGGGGTGCTATAGCTTATGGTTCCAGGTCACCTTTAATCGTCATCAGAGGTAACATGAATGCGCAGCGTTATATCCACGTAGTTCTAGAACCCTATCTTGTACCCTATCTTGACACCCTGGCAGATCCAACTTTCCAACAAGATAATGCCCGACCACATGTTGCAAGAGTCACAATAGACTTCTTTCAACATAATGATGTCACATTGTTACCATGGCCACCAAGATCTGCCGACTTATCCCCAATTGAGCACGTGTGGGATATGATGGGTAGGAGATTGCTCAATTTGCAACGTCCTCCTCAGACTCTAGAAGCACTTCTAGAGGAGTTGGTGGTTGCCTGGAATGAGATACCACAGGAGGACATTGACCACCTGATCAGAAGCTTACCTAGGCGCGTTGGAGAATGCGTAGCACATCAGGGTGCATCCACACATTATTAAAGGTCAAAGGCCTTTAAAGCAGTGCAATCATATTGAAATTTTTATCATTTACTTATTATGCTTCATTAAGTACTTATACAAAATTTTACGAGATTAAAATAAAACCATTTAAACTGGGTGTTCGGATTTATATGTCACTTAGTATATTTATGATTCTTATTGTTACTACCATCAACAAAAATGTATTTCTGCGTTCAGGTTACAGCATACCTTTTTATATACTTATGAAGTTCGTTCTAACAACCAATTCATGCCAAACAAAGCAAATATGTTAATGAATTTAGGACTGAAAAGTCCACTTAAATGTACAAATTTTCAACACAAGAAAAAACAAAATTGATGATGTCGAAAAAAGAAACCTCGAATTAAAAATTTGACTACGTCATTTTGCAGAACCGAATAATTCGCAATGGCGACATGCAATTTATTTTGAAAGCGCATCTCAAAGTCAGTAAAAAAATGATTTTGCGATAAATCTGCTAAGCGAAACAAATGACGGTGTGATCTGAATTTCAAGGCCTACCTAGGAAATTCTGTGTTTTGAAATAACTAAGGTTCAACAATCCAATATGGCGTCCTTAAGAACGAATAAAGTTGATGCTAGAGGACAAGAGAGGAAACGTCGTATTGAAATTCTGATCATGTCATCGTGCGAAGAAAAATTGGAAATGTCAATGGGCAATTTATTTCAAAATGCTACTACAAATAAAGTCAGTAAGGAACGATTTTGAGAAAACCCAGTATAAAACACAAATATACTAAGTGACATATAAATCCGAACACCCAGTTTAAATGGTTTTATTTTAATCAAATTTTGTATAAGTACTTAATGAAGCATAATAAGTAAATGATAAAAATTTCAAAATGATTGCACTGCTTTAAAGCCCTTTGACCTTTAATAATGTGTGGATGCACCCTAATGTGCTACGCATCCTCCAACGCGCCTAGGCATGCTTCTGATCAGGTGGTCAATGTCCTCCTGTGGTATCTCATTCCAGGCAACCACCAACTCCTCTCGAAGTGCTTCTAGAGTCTGAGGAGGACGTTGCAAATTGAGCAATCTCCTACCCATCATATCCCACACGTGCTCAATTGGGGATAAGTCGGGAGATCTTGGTGGCCATGGTAACAATGTGACATCATTATGTTGAAAGAAGTCTATTGTGACTCTTGCAACATGTGGTCGGGCATTATCTTGTTGGAAAGTTGGATCTGCCAGGGTGTCAAGATAGGGTAAAAGATGGGGTTCTAGAACTTCGTGGATATAACGCTGCGCGTTCATGTTACCTCTGATGAAGATTAAAGGTGACCTGGAACCATAAGCTATAGCAGCCCAAACCATAACTCCAACGGATAGATAGATAGATAGATAGATAGATAGTCTTTATTGTCTTTTGGTCATAAATAGCTATGACAGTGTGATGAACATGTCTTTCAACAAAAAACTGTGGATTCCTCCTTTCACCACGTCGCCTTCTAACCCTGGCACGACCATCGTGCATGCCTAAACAAAATCGAGACTCGTCACCAAAGACAATACTGTTCCATTCCTGATCCCAGAGTGACCGTTGTCTGCACCACTCAAGGCGATTACGTCGGTGTTCTCGAGTTAAAGGGAGGACCCAGTGTGGCCGGTATGAAAACAAGCCAAAACTTCTCATTCGTCGGTAAACACTTCGCATGCCAATAATAGGTCTTCCGTGTTCTGCAAACCATTCATTTGCAATGGACCTGGTAGTGGAGAAACGGTCCCTTAAGGCCAATAATCTTAGGCGGCGATCTTCACGGTCTGTTGTTCTACGGCGGCGTCCAGTGCCCCTTGCTCTTTGCGTACGGCTTTCTCGAAGCCATGCCTGACAACACCTAACCACAGTGTCTACACTTCTTTGCACTCTAACTGCAATTGCCCGAAAAGAAAGTCCAGCTTCCCGAAGTCCCACTATACGGCCCCTATCAAACTCACTAAGTTGACGAAATCGTACAGGTCTCCGTACTCTAGGCATCGTAACCAATCGTAAAGGATGTCAAGAACCAAAATCCGCCAACGTTGATTCTTTACTGCGGCTGAAATATTCATTTTTAGAGCGTTAGTGAATTAAAAAAAACAGTATAAAAACCAGAATGTCCAACTGATGAGGCTGAAAATTTTTTCACTTGTTATTTACAGTAAGATAAATACATTCACCAACTTTTATTAAAATAAAACCATTTAAACTGGGTGTTCGGATTTATATGTCACTTAGTATATAATGCACGCTACTGAATCTCTACAAAACCCCAGCGCAATGCCAAGGTAGATCCTTCTTAAAGAAAATTGTATCCTGATCATCGATTTTCTATTGCAGGTATTTTATGTGTGACGTGTGGAATTCCCTGGACGTGTACTTCTCAACGTCATCAATCCTCCATCTTTGCTGTATCAGCGTTGACAGATACTACGCCATAGTGAAACCGTTGAAGTACACCCTCACCATGACGAAGAAAGTTGTGGCACTGATGATACTCAACACGTGGATCAGTCCCGCTATCATCAGTTTCCTTCCGATATTCAAAGGATGGTAAGCCAACTTCAAAGTGAAACGTCTTCTTTGAACCTCCTGTTCAATAATCTAGAGCTAGCGACAAAATGATAGGCTATTTCAATAGATTATAGTAGCTACAAAATAAGTGAGATGCCGTTTCTCGGACTTCCGTAAAAAGTTTTTTTTGATTCAAGACGTTTCAAAAAAATTTCGTAGACAATGGACAAAGCTGAGTAATTGTGGACAACAAATTTTAGTTTTTTAATTGTATCTTGTGGGAAAAGTGCACTTCTTTGTTAATTTTGGGGCGCTGAATCCAAAAATGACAATGAAATAAAAAAATTAGTTGCGGTTTAGAAAAAAAACTTTTTATTTTTAAGGATATATTAAAAAAAGTAACAAGATTCATTTACTTATAAGAATCACTATATGCGCTGTCTTTTTGCTGTTCTTTTATGGATCGTTTCTGGAGCATCTCTACCAAGAGTCCAACAGTAGTCTGCAAGCATGGAAGGATTCCACTTTCCCTGGTACCATTTTTCCATTGTTAAAATATCCTGATGAAAACGTTCGCCGTGCTCATCACTTACGGCTACGCAATTGTCAGGAGTAAAGTCCAGGTGTGAGTGTAGGAAATGTATCTTAAGTATGTATCTTTTGATACGATGACAGCAAATTTTTGACAAGGGTTTTATAGTTGTCAGCGTTTCTATTTCCAAGAAATTAGTGACCACCAGACGGAAATCATTCCAAGCAGTTTTTTCAATACCTGTTAAAGTGTTTTCAAACTGTGTATCTTTCAAAATATTTCGAATCTGTGGCCCAACAAAAATACCTTCTTTAACCTTTGCCTCACTTAGTCTTGGAAATTTCTGACGCAGGTATTGAAAAGCTGACCCATCTCTATCTAATGCCTTGACAATGTTTTTCATTAGGCCCAACTTGATATGCAGTGGTGGTAATAAAATTTTTTTCGAATCTACTAATGGCATATGCTGTACATTTTTTTGACCTGGCTCTAGGAATTGACGAACAGGCCAGTTTTGTCTGGTGTAATGAAGTGCCTTTGCCCGGCTGCCCCATTCACACAAAAAACAGCAAAACTTTGTGTAGCCTAGCTGCAGCCCAAGTAAAAGTGCAACAACTTTCAAATCGCCACAAATATGCCATTGGTGCTCATCGTATTTTATGCATGTCAATAGGTACTTCATATTGTCATATGATTCTTTCATGTGAACTGCATACCCTACAGGAAGATATGGTAAAATATTTCCAATATGCAATAACACTGCCTTTAAACTCAATGTTGAACTGTCTATAAACAATCTCCATTCTTCTGGGTTATAGTTTATATTTAAAGTCGCCAGTAAGCCGTTAATGTTACTGCAGAAAACCAAGTTATTCTCCATATTGAAAAATGGTTCTAAGTCTTTGTGGCGTTTACGAAAAACACATACCGAAACATCGTCTTCTAACAAGTTCCACTGCTGCAGTCTTGATCCAAGTAACTCTGCCTTACATTTTGGAAGTTCTAAATCTCTTACAAGATCATTTAATTCTGACTGTGTTATTTTGTGCAGTTGGTGGCATGACGTGCTCGGTATAAAATCAGGATCTCTTGACGTTGATGGCATATATCTTCTTCCTGACGAATCACTCGATCGCCATGATCTGATTCGTTTTCTGATTCGCAAGTGTAGGATTCTAGGGGTTTTTGAATAGGATTTTCGTCACTGTGAGGCACAGGTCTCATCGCAGACGGTATGTTTGGGTAGTTAATAACCAATTTTTTTTTCTTGGACATACCTGTGGCTTGTCCAACACAAGGTACCATGCAAAAGTAACAATCATTAATATGATTTGTAGGCTCTCTCCAAACCATTGGGACAGCAAAGCGCATAGACCGTTTTTTGTCATTTAACCAGTTCCTCAGACTTGAAGCACATGTATTACAGCAGATGTGGGGTGCCCACTATTTGTCTTGATCACCTAGTTTACAACCGAAATAAAGCTGATATGCCTTTGTTATTAGTGGAGTAATAGACCGTATCTGAGACGCAAAAGCCACATCACCACACACGTAACAAAACTGATCTGGATTGTTTACACACTTTCGAGACATCTTGCATGAACGCTCTCAGCCAACTGATGAAAAAATGGCTAATATAGAACAATATAATGTACACGTATGTATAACGTAACACAATCATGCCGATCACATCATCTTTCCTTGCCGAATATAAAAATGTAGCACGTGCATTCTTGTGAATTACAGTATATTAACACTGTCACAGCAGGAACACATATAATTACCGTATCTCTAAAACTTGAACTAATATTGAAAAAATAAGTTTCATTCCGGTTTTAGCACATTAAAAATAGTAATATTTTGTTGATTTTATTTAGGATGTTTTTTGGCTGTTGATCAGTGTTACTGGACAGACTATTTTAATTTTTGAAAAATAATATTTTGACAGACAATCAACCCCCATTATTTTTCTATTTGTCATATAACTTTTTCCGCATGATACTTTTCTTTTTATACAGGGTGGCCCATACATGTGTGGACGGAATATTACTCATTAACACATACATTTTTTGAAAATCTATTTATGGGATGTTATACATGATATTTGAGGGCACATTTCTAAAATATTGGGCATTATACAGTATATCCCAATTTCGACCTACATGTCAAAGTTGTGATTTTTCAAATGGAATGCCTCAAATTTTATTCATATTAATTTGGATAAACCAATTCAAAAGAAGAAAATTGGTATAACATACTATGGGGTTTTGGTAATTAGCTACTGAGATGTAAGGTGTTTTGTCCAGAAAAACCGTCCAATTCGGCAACCCCTCAATCCGCCATTTTGAAATTTGGAGTGCTGAATTTTGTAAAACAAAAACTCACACACCTCAGCTTTTATCTCATTTATTACTTTTTCGAAATTTTTGCTTATACAGGGTGTTCAAAAACGCGAATTGTAATTTTTCTCAAATTGTTCAATTGGATTCAAATTTTTATAAGCCTTTTTTGGTATAAGGTTTGATTGATATGCGGTAAAAACTTTTCGGATAAGTTGTGAAACACCCTGTACAACAGAAGATGAGGAATTAACTTATAATAATCCTCTAAGGATTCATTTACAGTTCGGTTCGATCAGAACACCTCTTAGAACTTACAAAAAATTAGGCACTGGATAGATATCCATTGATAGAGAATGCCTGCGTGTTATCAAGGACACGATCACCAAGAAACCGTGCACGAATACCTGTTAAATCACTTGATAATGTTCCGAACGTGCGAGAAAAGTTTCGTTCGTACCAGCGTATAGTTCAGTAGTATGTATAATTCCCAATATTTTAGAAATGTGCCCTCAGATGTCATGAATTACGTCCTGTAAATAGATTTTCCCAAAACGTATTTGTTTATGAGTAATATTCCGTCTACACATGGATGGGCCACTCTGTATATATACAGTGCCAAGATTGGATTCTCTATACAGGGATCTCGGCTCCTGTTATACCTACAATAAAGGTTAGATGGGGAAAGTTTTAGAGGAAACTTACTGCTTTCGATAGCTTGCTGTAGGTATAACAGGAGCCGAGACCTCTTTATAGAGAATCGAATCTAGGACACACTGTACAGGGTGTCCCAGAAGTCGACGTCAAGCCGAAACCGGGTGATAGGCAAAGTCATGACAGCTATCAGAAAAATATTTAAAAAAAATTTATGTATGTGTTTTGAAAATTATAGGTCTTTGAATAAAATATAGAAATTTCACACCATACGGCAGTCTGTCAACTCCTGTTACTGCAAATATTAACTTTTTTGGATTTTATTTTTACAATGTAATGATGAATAATGCATCTTCAAACTGGTGTCTCAACCTTACTGCCAACTTCTCTCGTTCAGGAAAAATTGTCACTTATTTCCCAACCGAGTATTCTAAAGTAAAACTTTGCTTAACTTCAACTGGCTGTACTGGAAAAAAATGTAATACGAGAGTTTGGCAAGTAACCTTAAAAGCTGGCGCATTTAATAAGGATTCCAAAATGGTATAACACTTAGAAGATTACTCGTTAACTTATGCACAATTTTTATTTGAAGAAAAACTGATGAAAATTTTTCAAAATTTCCTAATTAAACAGCGATTATGAAAACGCACAAGGACCCTTAAGGATAACTGTTTGCACAACAGTAGGCGTCAAAATGCTGCTGATGATGATTTACCTTTACAGCAAATGCTCAAACTGTTTTCCTTCAGCCGCAATACACGCTCGACATCTCCTTAAAAAAGATCGGGTTATTAAACGAGCGAATTCACGGTTATGAACAAACTCAGCTGCTTCCAATAGTATTTGCCGTAGCTCAGCTACATTTTGAATCGGCTTGAAATACACTTTTTCTTTTACAGTTCCCCAGTAAAAAAATCTAAAGGATTCAAATCAGGTGATCGGGCTCGCCACGGTATTGTACCAGACCGCCTTATCCATTTGCCTAGAAAGTTTTGATCGAGATACTCTTTCACTGAGAGTGCATCGTGCGCTGGGCAGCCATCATGCTGAAACCACATGTCCCTGTAAATACTCAGTGGCACGTCCTCCAATAAATTTTCTAAATGATTTTGCAAAAAACCTAAATCAACCTCAGCAGTCAAAGTCTCTGTAAACTCAAACGGACCGATTTAAAATTCCTGTCCAATGGTTTATCTTGAAGCGATATTGAGATTTATCTTCTCTCATCAAATGTGGGTTTGCTACGTGCCACTCGTGTAAGTTATGCAGGTTCATGTACCCATCTTTCTTAAATGTGGTCTTATCTGACCATACAATTTTTTCAAAGAACCCTGGATCTTCCCTGTGTCTTTCTAACATTGTGCGACAAAAAGCAACTCGGGGCTCATAATCCCGGGGCAGAAGAGCTTGAACACGCTGTACGTGGTATGGGTGGGGCACGTTTTTTTGGAAGATTCTATGGGCTGTACTTTTGGGCACACCTGTTTTTAGTTCTATTGCACGCACTGAAGTACTCGGGTCTTCTTCGACAGCTCCTAGCACCACGTCTTCGTAAGGAAGGAAAGATCTTCCCTCAACGTGTGACTGGTTTGGTAGTTGGTCCTCTGAGAACAGTAAGCGGTGCACATTTGTGAACACTCGATGATCTGGATGACGAGCTACATTCGGGTACCTCTCACAGTAAAGTCTCGCTGCAGCACTAGCGTTGCATCTGCATTCCCCATAAATGAGGTGCATGTTAGCATATTCTTGTACGGTGTACACGGACATAGCGGCACTGCACAATCACACTATCAAAGATAGTCTAAGGAAAGCAAATGTTGTTTTGAAGAGCAATTAAACAGTCCAAATCCAAATCACAAGCGATCAACAGTCCAGTTCACGAATCCAAAATTAGTAACAGTACGAAATCAACAAGCACGAACATGGAAAGATGCGCAGTAAACGAAGGAGTACTGATCGGTATCAAAGTGTGCAATAGCAAGTAACTGATGTGCTTCATCCATACCACATACAGCGTGTTCAATATCTCCTGCCCCGGGATTATGAGCCCTGAGTTGATTTTTGTCGCACAATGTTAGAAAGACACAGGAAAGATCCACAGTTCTTTGAAAAAATTTTATGGTCGGATGAGACCACATTTAAGAAAGATGGGTACATGAACCTGCATAACTTACACGAGTGGCACGTAGCAAACCCACATTTGATGAGAGAAGATAAATCTCAATATCGCTTCAAGATAAACTATTGGACAGGAATTTTAAATGGTAAAATAATCGGTCCGTTTGAGTTCCCGGAGACTTTGACTGCTGAAGTTTATTTGGATTTTTTTAAAAATCATGTACAAAATTTATTGGTGGACGTGCCACTGAGTATTTACAGGGACATGTGGTTTCAGCATGATGGCTGCCCAGCGCACTATGCACTCTCGGTGAGAGAGTATCTCGATCAAAACTTACCAGACAGATGGATAAGGCGGTCAGGTACAATACCGTGGCCAGCCCGATCACCTGATTTGAATCCTTTAGATTTTTTTACTGGGGAACTGTAGAAGAAAAAGTGTATTTCAAGCCGACTCAAAATGTAGCTGAGCTACGGCAAAGACTATTGGAAGCAGCTGAGTTTGTTAATAACTGTGGATTCGCTCGTTTAATAACCCGATCTTTTTTAAGAAGATGTCGAGCGTGTATTGCGGCTGAAGGAAAACAGTTTGAGCATTTGCTGTAAAGGTAAATCATCATCACCAGCATTTTGACGCCCACTGTTGTGCACACAGTTATCCTTAAGAGTCCTTGTGCGTTTTCATAATCGCTGTTTAATTAGGAAATTTTGAAAAATTTTCATCAGTTTTTTTTCAAATAAAAATTGTGCATAAGTTAACGAGTAATCTTCTAAGTGTTATACCATTTTGGAATCGTTATTAAATGCGCCAACTTTTAAGGTTACTTTCCAAACTCTCGTAGTACATTTTTTTCCAGTACAGCCAGTTAAAGTTGAGCAAAGTTTCACTTTGGAATACTTGGTTGGGAAATAAGTGGCAATTTTTCCTGAACGAGAAAAGTTGGCAGTAAGGTTGAGACACCACTTTGAAGATGCATTATCCATCATTACATTGCAAAAACAAAATCCAAAAAAAGTTAATATTTGTAGTAACAGGAGTTGACAGACTGCCGTAGGGTGTGAAATTTCTATATCTTTTTCAAAGACCTATAATGTTCAAAACACATACATAAAATTTTTTTAAATATTTTTCTGATAGCTGTTATGACTTTGCCTATCACCCGGTTTCGGCTTGACGTCGACTTCTGGGACACCCTGTATAATTTGCCTTTGAAATTTGATTCTGAAGTCCGAGAAATAACATCTCAATGATCCAAATCCTCATCAAATTTCAAACAATCCAAGAGAGGAATCAAAGTCCACGGGTTCCAATCAACCTTAAACAGCTACCTCTTCTGCCTTTCGGTTTTAGCTTTAACACGTGTCTCTCCATTTTAGGTACACCACGGACGAGCACGAAAAATTCCGGGAAAACCATCGCGATCTCTGCGAATTCGTGGTAAACAAACCGTATGCCGTTATCAGTAGCAGCATTTCATTCTGGATACCGTGCACCATAATGATCTTCATGTACTTGGCCATCTTCAGGGAGGCTAACAAGCAAGAGAAAGAAATGTACAATCGACATGGAGCTGCTCTGCTGCTGCACCAAAATAACACCAATGGGGACATGCTCTCTAACTCAGGTAAAATGCTCCACAGATACTATTTTCTCTATTTAGCATTTGCAGAGAACAAGACAGCAAAGCTTCTCTGGGTGGCCATAGGACGACGTAGGAGGTCTCTCCCGTTGTTGTCGGAAACTACACTGATTGTCTCTTATCAAGCTATGATGTTCGAGATACTCCAGAAGCTCCCGACTGATGCCTTTCTCCATCACCTTGCTGATCACAAAAAATACAACTGTGGATCTGTAATTGGGTTGGTCCTCTAGGCTAAACATAAGCACACTTCCAATCCTCTTATAGATATATAAAAGGGCCGTTCAAGACCTGGAACAAGCTCCTCTGACATCTCTTCAGTATGATAGCAGGAATCAAGTTTCACCCATTTCTTATAGTACTTTTTAAAATTCCTGGAGCAGTGTCGGAGTCAAGACCGATCCCTGGGGAACACCCGCGTTGGAGGTTATGGAATGGAGAGGAAACCCGTCAATTAAGAGGGATAGGACGGAAGTTTGATATCAGTAGCAACGATATGAGCCTCACCATAAGACTGGATGAGTTTACACTTATCAGGGTTGGCCTTAGATTCTTTTTTGGGAGATGGGTTGGACGTGACATTAACAGTAATGTCAGATACAGATCAGAACAACCTTTCACGTTCCAGAAGTCATCTCGGGTATGAAGGCCCATGTGCTTCAAACCTAACTGCGCTGTTGGCCAGAAGGAAGCTCTCGAGACAAGTTCAAATAGTATCAGCATTACCATATCAGTGCAGGTTAAACTCTTGCACGTTCTATCGCTTTAAGTAACGATTTCCAAAAGGATTCAAGACTTTGAATAAATCGAAATTAATTAAAATTAGTTTTTGCATCTGTTTCAGGGGGCTCGTCGAAGACGTTGACCCTGCACGAGGTGAACCAAGAGCTGCACCAACACACTCCGACTAAGCAGAGCAACATTTCGAAGATGAAACGCGAGCACAAGGCGGCTCGTACTCTCGGGATCATCATGGGTACCTTCATCGTGTGTTGGCTGCCGTTTTTCCTTTGGTATGACACAGTCTACCTTTGCGACACCTGCCGGGAGAACTGTCCCCCAGAAGTGGTAAGTCATCATTTAACATATAATATACTAAGTGACGTATAAATCCGAACACCCAGTTTAAATGGTTTTATTTTAATAAAAGTTGGTGAATGTATTTATCTTACTGTAAATAACAAGTGTTCAGCCTTATCAGTTGGACATTCCGGTTTTTATACTGCTTTTTTTTAATTCACTAACGCTATAAAAATGAATATTTCAGCCGCAGTAAAGAATCAACGTTGGCGGATTTTGGTTCTTGACATCCTTTACGATCGGTTACGATGCCTAGAATACGGAGACGTGTACATTTCGTCAACTTAGTGAGTTTGATAGGAACCGTATAGTGGGACTTCGGGAAGCTGGACTTTCTTTTCGGGCAATTGCAGTTAGAGTGCAAAGAAGTGTAGACACTGTGGTTAGGTGTTGTCAGGCATGGCTTCGAGAAGGCCGTACGCAAAGAGCAAGGGGCACTGGACGCCGCCGTATAACAACAGACCATGAAGATCGCCGCCTAAGATTATTGGCCTTAAGGGACCGTTTCTCCACTACCAGGTCCATTGCAAATGAATGGTTTGCAGAACACGGAAGACCTATTGGCATGCAAAGTGTTTACCGACGAATGAGAAGTTTTGGCTTCTTTTCATACCGGCCACACTGGGTCCTCCCTTTAACTCGAGAACACAGACGTAATCGCCTTGAGTGATGCAGACAACGGTCACTCTGGGATCAGGAATGGAACAGTATTGTCTTTAGTGACGAGTCTCGATTTTGTTTAGACATGCACGATGGTCGTGCCAGGGTTAGAAGGCGACGTGGTGAAAGGAGGAATCCACAGTTTTTTGTTGAAAGACATGTTCAGCACACTGTTGGAGTTATGGTTTGGGGAGCTATAGCTTATGGTTCCAGGTCACCTTTAATCTTCATCAGAGGTAACATGAACGCGCAGCGTTATATCCACAAGTTCTAGAACGCGTAGCACATCAGGGTGTATCCACACATTATTAAAGGTCAAAGGACTTTAAAGCAGTGCAATCATTTTGAAGTTTTTATCATTTACTTATTATGCTTCATTAAGTACTTATACAAAATTTTATTAAAATAAAACCATTTAAACTGGGTGTTCGGATTTATATGTCACTTAGTATATCTTCGCCATTTTCGGCACCTGCCTGGAAAATCAGGATTGTATGGAATCCATGCACGTTTGTGTTTTCGCAGAAAAGTACACATTTCTCAAAATGATAGTAATAACGCGTTCATAATAATAAAAGCGTCTATCACCTAACACATACAGAATCCCTTAACAGGGCAATAAAAGAGAAAAAACATACTATCCGCAGATATCCTGTGACTTATTCTCAGCAGAACACTTTAGTTCCTTGATTTTCCAATTAAATATGTCAACATGCTGCGATGTCTTATTATAATATGAACATATTACTGATAATGGTGGACATTAGATTTGCCCTAGCAGCAGTAGAATAAAATGTTAATGATTGTCTAGAGTTAAACTAGTCTGAGCTCCAAACTGTCAATGACAAAAAGGATTAGCCAAAGATTATACTCAGTTCCTTGTTCTGGATATATACTAAGTGACATATAAATCCGAACACACAGTTTAAATGGTTTTATTTTAATAAAATTTTGTATAAGTACTTAATGAGTCATAATAAGTAAATGATAAAAATTTCAAAATGGTTGCACTGCTTTAAAGCCCTTTGACCTTTAATAATGTGTGGATGCACCCTGATGTGCTACGCATTCTCCAACGCGCCTAGGCATGCTTCTGATCAGGTGGTCAATGTCCTCCTGTGGTATCTTATTCCAGGCAACCACCAACTCCTCTCGAAGTGCTTCTAGAGTCTGAGGAGGACGTTGCAAATTGAGCAATCTCCTACCCATCATATCCCTCACGTGCTCAATTGGGGATAAGTCGGGAGATCTTGGTGGCCATGGTAACAATGTGACATCATTATGTTGAAAGAAGTCTATTGTGACTCTTGCAACATGTGGTCGGGCATTATCTTGTTGGAAAGTTGGATCTGCCAGGGTGTCAAGATAGGGTAAAAGATGGGGTTCTAGAACTTCGTGGATATAACGCTGCGCGTTCATGTTACCTCTGATGAAGATTAAAGGTGACCTAGAACCATAAGCTATAGCACCCCAAACCATAACTCCAACAGTGTGATTAACACGTCTTTCAACAAAAAACTGTGGATTCCTCCTGTCACCACGTCGCCTTCTAACCCTGGCACGACCATCGTGCATGCCTAAACAAAATCGAGACTCGTCACTAAAGACAATACTGTTCCATTCCTGATCCCAGAGTGACCGTTGTCTGCACCACTCAAGGCGATTACGTCGGTGTTCTCGAGTTAAAGGGAGGACCCAGTGTGGCCGGTATGAAAACAAGCCAAAACTTCTCATTCGTCGGTAAACACTTCGCATGCCAATAGGTCTTCCGTGTTCTGCAAACCATTCATTTGCGATGGACCTGGTAGTGGAGAAACGGTCCCTTAAGGCCAATAATCTTAGGCGGCGATCTTCACGGTCTGTTGTTCTACGGCGGCGTCCAGTGCCCCTTGCTCTTTGCGTACGGCCTTCTCGAAGCCATGCCTGACAACACCTGACCATAGTGTCTACACTTCTTTGCACTCTAACTGCAATTGCCCGAAAAGAAAGTCCAGCTACCCGAAGTCCCACTATACGGCCCCTATCAAACTCACTAAGTTGACGAAATCGTGCAGGTCTCCGTACTCTAGGCATCGTAACCGATCGTAAAGGATGTCAAGAACCAAAATCCGCCAACGTTGATTCTTTACTGCGGCTGAAATATTCACTTTTAGAGCGTTAGTGAATTAAAAAAAAGCAGTATAAAAACCGGAATGTCCAACTGATAAGGCTGAAAATTTTTTCACTTGTTATTTACAGTAAGATAAATACATTCACCAACTTTTATTAAAATAAAACCATTTAAACTGGGTGTTCGGATTTATATGTCACTTAGTATATGTGGTGCTTTTTAACCACTAGATATTTGAAAAGCACCTTTGTAGTATATCCTGTCTTTCCTTGTGACACTGATAATATGGGTTCGTGACGATCGAACAACACTCCAGTTCAGAACGTATATAAGAAAATATTGACATTTCAATGTCAACTGTCAAACTACCTGCTTAAGCCTGATCGATTTGTATCCTGACTACTGACTACGTAATTTTGATGACACGCAAGTCGAAAGCTGCGATATGACACGCTGACAGAGTTTTAAGCTACGCCGATGCCACTGCTTTGCCGAACATTATTCTTGAAACCATGCGTAGACAAATTTCTATACGAGCATTTTGCGAGACTATTTATTTCTTTGACCTATGTCTGAATTATGCGAAAACGCCAGGATCTAATAGAATATCCTAATATACCTTGGACCTACATCAAAATCCAGCATGTCAGGATCCAAAACAAACAGTTTGTGATTTAATAGAAACCCTTCTCAGCTACAAGATTATATATATTTCGTGCTTGACAGGTCCCGAAATAGATCACTATAAAAACGTCCATCCATCGGGTCAAAATTCAATAAGAGAAAGGACCATCTGGACACCTGAATAGCTGAAAAATTAAGACACAGTTAATGAATAATGAATATATGAAACTATTTATTTTATTTTCAAGGTGGGACTTTTGATTCATAGAAATCCCTGATATTGTAACAGGCTCAAAGCATTTTTTTGATTCTCGTGCTCGTAAAGTCTCATTCCTTTTATCAACTTTAACTTCCTGTATCATTTCAATCTCCACCTAGAAACAAAAGTGATAGGAATATTTAAAGGCCCTTAAAACCTTGCATCTGAGTTTTTAAAAAGCCACCATTACTTTTTAGCAACATATTCATACTTAAAGTTGTTAAGCTCGTGGTTTCCATCGTATCGATGTTTCCGCATGTTATTCCACTTTATAGAGGACAGCAATAATAAAAACGCTTTAAAGACTGGTCGTGTAAAACTAGAGCGGTTATAAAGCGTTGACGTACATTGAAAGATCCTCTATTTAATTGCGGAAACATCTAATAAGAAAGATAATACATTTATACAGGGTGGCCCATCGAAAACGAAACAGCAGCTCAGCCGTTGATTTTGTTTTCAAGTGGGACATAAGTTTGGCAAAAAATCACGTTAGCACATGCAGCCCCCTAAGCGGGGGTGACACCACCCCCAAAATCTTAAATGGAAAGGGGGGTCGAGTGATACCTTATTTTAAAGGTCTTTCAATTCCCTTTATAATGATATGAAATTAATGTACCTCAGTTCAGTAATTTTGAAGATTTATTGATTTAAAACTTAAATAAAATGCAGGTGTTAACGTGATTTTTTGCCAAACTTGTGTCCCCTCGAAAACAAAATCGACGGGTCTGAGCGTTTTTCCAAAGAAAAACTGAGCTGCCAGTATATGCGCCTGTTTCGTTTTCGATGCGACACCCTGTATAATAGAGTCCGACTACGGCCTATGCACCGTCGAATTTCCTTGTATAGTGAATATAATAAATAATGTAATAATATGATATTTAGTCCTACATTAAATAGTTAGATGGTGTTTAGGTCTTTTTTTTATTTTTTTTAACTTTTTCAGAACAAACTGTAGTTACGTCTCTCCGAGTAGCGTAACAAGTACAAGCCCGTCTGGTAGATTTCAAGCTATTATCCACCCTTTTGTCGAACAGTGATGGATAAGGACAGGTGACTAGTATTACCTTTTACCCTCCATTAAAAATGTATGGAACAGTCAGCCGAAATCAATTTCTACATGCTGAGTACCTGAATCGTATATTTTATTTAACGATAGATGATTTTGAACTCCCACTGTTGATGTGGACATCGGTGAAATCCTATTATTGACGTGAAAAATATAAAATATCTGAAAAACGTTTTATTTTAAGGGTGTTCTCTCATCTACGCTCTCGTATACAGGGTGTAAAGTTAGTAGTGGATCAACGGAAGTCACGTGTTAGAGGGGCTCAAAACCTATAGAATAAACCCCTATATGTGGGGTCCGTGGTTCAGGAGATATTTGCAGTTTCGAAAAAAAAACGGGATAATGAACTTTCAATCGCAATTACAACTAAACCATTAGGCTTAGGGCTGTTATTTTTTTCTGAGATGAGCTAACAGAGCTTATTAGAAATCAACGCAAAAAATCTTAAATATATTGATATCCTATATCTAAGGGATTATGTAAAAGAACAGGCGCAGCGGCGTTATAATCAAGCGGAATCGCATAGCAACCCTCTGTTGCGTGATTCAGTAGACTACACAGTCGAGCAAGTTCGCAAACATTCCAGACCGCGCCTCGCAAAATTAAATTGTAAATTCAGACCAGCCAAAATTATACTAAGTGACATATAAATCCGAACACCCAGTTTAAATGGTTTTATTTTAATAAAAGTTGGTGAATGTATTTATCTTACTGTAAATAACAAGTGAAAAAATGTTTAGCCTTATCAGTTGGACATTCCGGTTTTTATACTGCTTTTTTTTAATTCACTAACGCTCTAAAAATGAATATTTCAGCCGCAGTAAAGAATCAACGTTGGCGGATTTTGATTCTTGACATCCTTTACGATCGGTTACGATGCCTAGAGTACGGAGACCTGTACGATTTCGTCAACTTAGTGAGTTTGATAGGGGCCGTATAGTGGGACTTCGGGAAGCTGGACTTTCTTTTCGGGCAATTGCAGTTAGAGTGCAAAGAAGTGTAGACACTGTGGTTAGGTGTTGTCAAGCATGGCTTCGAGAAGGCCGTACGCAAAGAGCAAGGGGCACTGGACGCCGCCGTAGAACAACATACCGTGAAGATCGCCGCCTAAGATTATTGGCCTTAAGGGGCCGTTTCTCCACTACCAGGTCCATTGCAAATGAATGGTTTGCAGAACACGGAAGACATATTGGGATGCGAAGTGTTTACCGACGAATGAGAAGTTTTGGCTTGTTTTCATACCGGTCCTCCCTTTAACTCGAGAACACCGACGTAATCGCCTTGAGTGGTGCAGACAACGGTCACTCTGGGATCAGGAATGGAACAGTATTGTCTTTAGTGACGAGTCTCGATTTTGTTTAGGCATGCACGATGGTCGTGCCAGGGTTAGAAGGCGACGTGGTGAAAGGAGGAATCCACAGTTTTTTGTTGAAAGACATGTTCATCACACTGTTGGAGTTATGGTTTGGGGTGCTATAGCTTATGGTTCCAGGTCACCTTTAATCTTCATCAGAGGTAACATGAACGCGCAGCGTTATATCCACTAAGTTCTAGAACCCCATCTTTTACCCTATCTTGACACACTGGCAGATCCAACTTCCAACTCCGACCACATGTTGCAAGAGTCACAATAGACTTCCTTCAACATAATGATGTCACATTGTTACCATTGCCACCAAGATCTCCCGACTTATCCCCAATTGAGCACGTGTGGGATATGATGGGTAGGAGATTGCTCAATTTGCAACGTCCTCCTCAGACTCTAGAAGCACTTCGAGAGGAGCTGGTGGTTGCCTGGAATGAGATACCACAGGAGGACATTGACCACCTGATCAGAAGCATGCCTAGGCGCGTTGGAGAATGCGTAGCACATCAGGGTGCATCCACACATTATTAAAGGTCAAAGGGCTTTAAAGCAGTGCAATCATTTTGAAATTTTTATCATTTACTTATTATGCTTCATTAAGTACTTATACAAAATTTTATTAAAATAAAACCATTTAAACTGGGTGTTCGGATTTATATGTCACTTAGTATATTTCAGTATTCTAAACCGATCAAAATTATTTTTTTGGAGTTACAAAATAATTCGCGTAGTCAAAGCAATAATGCTGAAGCTATTTCAAATGATTTACTTCTTTTCTTTGCTCCATTTCTCCCTCCCTTTCTTTCCTCCTTTCCCTTTTTCCGTTAAACATGATTGGTATCTGGGTAGCCAGACCTGACAGACTAACAGACCGACGAGACTTTAAACTATGAGCAAAGGTCCACGGGACCGCTCTGACGAATAATGACGAATAGTAGTAGTACTACAATAATCATTGACACTTTAAGATTGTGCCACGCAAAGCCAGCAAACCCAGGTTCGCCAGTGGTAGAAATTTCGTTTCCAAAGCAACAAAAGTGCATGAAGTTATCTGTAATTTTTTGATGTAGCAGACTCATCATCGTCGTCCATCGTCCTCGAAGCGCCCGTCTCAACTGTTGTCGCACCATACCGATTAATTGCTATCCAATATGCACTGCATAAGTTTCAGATTTTACATGGTACTTTTTGTTTCAGGTGGCCGTCGTGTTTTGGATCGGGTATTTCAACTCGACACTGAACCCCATCATCTACGCGTACTTCAATCGTGACTTCAGAGAAGCGTTCAAGAACACGCTGCAGTGCGCGTTTTGCAGTCTTTGCAGAAGACCGCCATCCAATCTGGACTACGATGCACGGAGGCCCTCGATACGGTGAGTATGTACATTCAATGTCATGAATTATCTTACTAAATGCAAAGCCAAATCTAGGATTTTTTCGGCTAAATCCGAAATGTATACTTAATACGACCCCTTCTTTGTCGCTAGAGTGACCTTTCCCAATTCTGCTAACCTTTGGCAATTCGTAAATTGGATTTAAAAAGTGCATTGAATAAATGTCACCGTGGGATAGAAACACCGTATCAGTAAATATTATTTCAAACATATCGCTGCTTCTCAAGAATAGTGACACTATCCAGAAAACGGGAAAAATTCGCTAAAATTGCTGATTCACTCCAAATGTTGACAATTTCATCATGAATAAAGACATTTGCAATTGTTGCAAAGTTTTCGACAGAGATGACGCTAGTGTCGTTAATAACGAATGTTTTGGAGTTCTGTCATGAATAATCTCATATTGCAGTTGCGGCCTATTAGAGCAAAATATGCTAATAACCGATGTGACATAAAGTGCATTGTGACTACCTTTCTACAACATAAAAATCCGGAAAATCAGTCATTCAAACTATCCGATGTTAAAGTGATAAAGGTATAATCTCAACATTCTTCAACAATTTTCTACAAAAACTCATACAGTAAGACCGATTTTCGTGAAGTTAAGGTAGATAAAAACATCTTATAGAAGATCTAAGAAGAACGAAGCAACAAAAAGAGCGCTTTACTTAATTCAGTAAAAAAATATAATACTGTAACAAGAATAAATAGTACTACCAGCGCCATCTGTTGTGCCAGTGGGTCTCATTCGATGCGAAACTGACACCGAGTGATACTACGAACGACGTCTGTTGGGAACCGCACCAGGGATTCTATTTCGAGATCGACGCGAAGTGACCTCGAATATTCTGGACTGCCGCTATGTGGCTCACCGGAACTTTCTCGAACTAACGAGTATGCTCGATGCGGAATATATAGGGCGACGGCCGGGGGAGGGAAGTAGAGTAGAGATCGTGGCGGGACATAATAATTCATAAATTAGTAGTCAGACATAAATAGTGGTGTACATAACTGTAACTAAATAAATTAGTGCATCATAGTATGAGAAATTTTACAATAATTTGTAACCAATTTTTGAATTGTACTTTTTTCCGCACTTACCTTTGATTTTTCAGTTCTAAGTAGCCTTCAAAATATTGTTAGTCGTGTATTATTGGTAGTAATCTATATAATATAAAAATAAATTCCTATTTCGCGTGGTCACGCCATATCTAGAGAACGACTTTACCGATTTCATTCATTTTTCTTTTTAATGTTTCGTAATGCTGTTTAGAAGGTTCTTACGGAAGAAATATCAAAAAACTTTCGCAGAAAATTGGGAAACCATTGAAAACCTAATGACTATTTAAGCTACGCGCGTTTGATAGTGGAGCGTTTTTCTGGGTTCTTTTGGGTGTGAATTAAAACGCTGAATTCCACAAAAAGAAATACACTAATTCATTTAACTTTATATAACATTTATGTACACTATTTATGTCTGACTTATTCTTATGTCGCCATTGACTGCACTATACTCCACTCCGCTCTGCTACTCTACCGTATTCAGTACTCTTTGCCTAACTCTTTTTTTTGGGTGAGGGGCAATGCGTTTATGCACCATACCATAGCCCGAGCTACGGCGTGTGTGGGACTCCAGGTTGTCTTGAGGAGACCACCTAATACCCACTAAACCCTAACCTCCGCGTGGCCCGACTCATCAGCGTGTCGGTAGGCCATGTGTTGTGCGTGACCTGCGGTCTGCTACAACGTCTCCTCATGTGTTTCAGTCCCTGGGAACGCCGGGTTGGTTCCCTTTACCTCGCACATTGTATCGATGTCGCTAAGCGATCATCGATAGAGGGTCTGCTAGGTTCTCTTGAAACTCTTGTTTTCGAAAAATCAAGAGTTTCAAGTCCTCTTACCTATATATTGTTCCTGGTCCTGGTCCTGAAGGGTCCTGGTCCTGGTGGGTCCTGGTCGTGGCGGGTCCTGCTCCTGGTTGGACCTGGTCCTGGTGGGTCCTGGTCCCGGCGGATCCTGATCCCGGTGGGTCCTGGTCCCGGTGGTTCCTAGTACTCTGCATCCACGCCGTGGGGGGGGGGAGAGCAACCGCTGGTTCTCCTAGTCTCCTAGTCAAGGTTCCAGTTAGCGGGTGCCAACTGGGACCTTGGTCTAAGGTACCTGGTTCTGCGGTTGCGAGGCCTCTCGTCCAGATCGTAGTCCATGAGGAATCGTAGCTGCTCGTTCAGGTGGTCCTGAGCTTTCTGGAAGGTCTTCTCCGCTTTTTTCCTCATGTACTCGTGAATGGTGTCCCAATGCAGGTCTCTACGCAAGGTTGAGTTTCTTACGTAGGATGGTGCACTGGTGGCGATCCGGAGTAGCTTCATCTCTAGAGCAGCAAGTCGCTTGCGGTAGCTGGGAGCAGCGTACTCCCAGACCGCGGAGGCGTAAGCGAGCTGAGGTCTGGCGATGGCCTTGATCAGCCGTAGCTTGGTCGCTAGCGGCATCCGGCTGTGTCTACCCAGTAATGGGTAGAGTTGAGCCATGGCTGCTCTGGTCTTTGCGATGACAGCTTCTATGTGGTCTTTCCAGGTGAGGGACTTGTCAAATACGATCCCCAGATGTTTGACTTTGTCGCTCCACTGGATATCTTCGTCGAAGATGGATGCTTCGAGAGGTCTTGCAATCCTTCTTCGTTGGATGAAGATTGCCTGCGTCTTCTGGACGTTGATGCGGATTTTCCATTTCACGCACCAGTCCTGGATGTGGTTCAGTTCATCCTGTAGTCTGCTACGGATGATCTCGGGTCGTCGATGCTTGGCGGCTATAGCAGTGTCGTCTGCATATAGGGCCAGCATTGTGCCAGCTGTCTTCGTCGTGAGTGTAGATGTTGTAGAGCAGGGGGGCTAAGGCTGACCCCTGGGGCACGCCTGCTTCCAGCTGTCGTCTTGTTGAGTGGCATGTGCCAATCTTCACCGTGAACCATCTTGCTGTTAGATAGCTCTGGATCAGTTAGCACATGTTTACATCGATTTCGGTGGCTTCCATTTTGGCGATGAGTCCATCGTGCCAAACTCGATCGAAGGCTCGTTCCACGTCCAGCAGGACGAGGCCGGTTGCCTCCTGGAGATTGAAGCCACTGGTGATGTTTTCTGTCAGTCGTAGCGCTTGGAGTTCCGTGTTGTGGGAGGATCTGAAGCCGAATTGCTCTGGGGGAGAAGTTCCAGTTCTTCTGCCTGCTTCTCTCTCTGCTATCGCCGTTCGACTACTTCCTCAATCGCCCGGCCGCCGAGGTTTATATAGTCCCAATTGCTGCTTCGAGAAATGCCGGGGTAACCACAAAGCGACATCTAGAACATTGGAGGTCACTTCGCGTCGATCTAGAAGGCGACCCACTGTCACGGTACTCACAGACGCCGCCAAGCGGCTTGTGCGGTCGTGATTCGCGTGAAAGCAGAGATCGGCCATTAAGCTCTGGCGAGTAGGAGACTCGCCAAAACAGATGGCGCTATTTGTCACAATAGTTTGCTTGAACATAGAGCCCGCACAGCAGAAGAAATACCTCAAGTACCGAAAGAGACAGGCACTGCTCTCCGTCATCTTTATTCCAACAGCTATTGACAGTTAGCTATGTGAGAGAAAATTGCTTATGAAAGCACGGTGGTTTCGTTTTTGGACTTACATTTCTTTACGATCCATACTTTGTAATGGTCCCTCCAAAAAAAAATGCATCGTGCGTAAGTGTTATCTTTGTCAGTTAACTCTATGAATAAAAATGGCGGATGAAAATACGTTTCTTTTACTTAATTGAGCTCCACTACTCTATCACGCTATCACGCCGCAAATTTATATTATCGTTTAACAGTGTTTATCGATATGGAAAAATATTGTTTTATTCAATCAGTAATGCACAGTCCATTCGAATATAGCTTTTATCCAGTTTTCAGTTCGTTCCACTACACTAAACTCATTGGTTTCCAGAAATGGGTCAGACTCTATATTTTTTTGACTCATATCCAGCAATACAACAATTGCTTTCAAATGACGTCATTCACATAACCTTATGTCTACTTTCAAGGTAAGTTGATGGGGGAATGACAGTGGTGCCAAGGTATTTTGCTAGCCACATGGCAGTACAAACACTTCGCAATACATTTACCTACACCCCATATTCAAGGTGTAAACGTTATGATAGTCATTATTTAAATGGGTGTTGGAGGTGGTTGTTCTTTCTGCTCTACAGTAACCTGTCTTTCACGAGTGCAAATATTAGTGGGCTGAACCTGTATCTCGAAGTCTTTGATACACTTGCACAAATGTCCTTCTGTCTGGGTGTACCCGTTGGCGAAATCTGTTGCGATAAATTTGAGCTACAATGTTTGAATTCTGACGAGCTTCACCGTAAACTAACATGTCGGCGAACTCTTGATCCGAGAACATTGTAAATAAACACGGCGACGTACGCGAACAAAAACAAAACAACACGCGCGATGCCCGATAACTAACCATTGTTACCGTTTGCGACCGATTGCCGGTTCGATAAGAGTAATGGAAGGCCGACGCGCTGTTGTCATGTGTGTTTTAAATACTTAATTTAATGAAACTTACTTACTGACTACAAACTTTGGCTTAACTTAGAAAAACTTAACGCCATTTATTTGTTGATTACCCAATTTGAAAACGTTTTAGATTAGATTATAAAAATTAGTAAGATTGTTGTAAACTATGAAGCCATTTAGAAAAAAATCTATTTTTTACACCCTGTATTTACCCTTTTACTATTCATTATTCACTCCAGTTTATAGCTAGTACTAAAATACATGTTGCCTCTTTGTAACCACGAATTACTCGTCACATATTTTTTAAAAATACATGATTTTTTTAGGAATAATGACATATTTCCGTTGCAAAGAACGTAGTAAAATGGGATATTTTTGAAAACATACTGATCTTTCACTCAGTCAATCTGAAAGTTCAATAAACCTTATTTAATTGATAATTTTTCTAAATCCAAATTATCAACTTTATCTTCAGTTATCCGAAATTGTTCTTCAAAAAATATTAAAAATGCCTCTCCTGAAAAAAATCTTTTTTTGAATGGTGTCCCTATTCTTGAGAAATAGCGATATGTGGCTTCATTTAGCGACCAGACAAACATTGAGGGTTAATTGATAGTTTCTGCAGGCAGTACTTGAAAAATCGTCCATTACACTGGACAACAAATTTTAGTTTTTTAATTGTATCTTGTGGGAAAAGTGCACTTCTTTGTCAATTTTGGGGCGCTGAATCCAAAAATGACAACGAAATAAAAAAATTAGTTGCGGTTTAGAAAAAAAACTTTTTATTTTTAAGGATATACGAGTATTAAAAAAAGTAACAAGATTCATATACTTATAAGAATCACTATATGCGCTGTCTTTTTGCTGTTATTTTATGGATCGTTTCTGGAGCATCTCTACCAAGAGTCCAACAGTAGTCTGCAAGCATGGATGGATTCCACTTTCCCTGGTACCCTTTTTGCATTGTTGAAATATCCTGATGAAAACGTTCGCCGTGCTCATCACTTACGGCTCCGCAATTGTCAGGAAAAAAGTCCAGGTGTGAGTGTAGGAAATGTATCTTAAGAGACATATTACAGCCCATCTTTTGATACGATGACAGCATATTTTTGACAAGGGTTTTATAGTTGTCAGCTTTTCTATTTCCCAAGAAATTAGTGACCACCAGACGGAAATAATTCCAAGCAGTTTTTTCAATACCTGTTAAAGTGTTTTCAAACTGTGTATCTTTCAAAATATTTCGAATCTGTGGCCCAACAAAAATACCTTCTTTAACCTTTGCCTCACTTAGTCTTGGAAATTTCTGACGCAGGTATTGAAAAGCTGACCCATTCTGCTATCTAATGCCTTGACAAAGTTTTTCATTAGGCCCAACTTGATATGCAGTGGTGGTAATAAAATTTTTAGAATTTTTTCGAATCTACTAATGGCATATGCTTTACATTTTTTTGACCTGGCTCTAGGAATTGACGAACAGGCCAGCTTTGCCTGGTGTAATGAAGTGCCTTTGCCCGACTGTCCCATTCACCCAAAAAACAGCAAAACTTTGTGTAGCCTAGCTGCAGCCCAAGTAAAAGTGCAACAACTTTCAAATCGCCACAAATATGCCATTGGTGCTCATCGTATTTTATGCATGTCAACAGGTACTTCATATTGTCATATGATTCTTTCATGTGAACTCCATACCCTACAGGAAGAGATGGTAAAATATTTCCAATATGCAATAACACTGCCTTTAAACTCAATGTTGAACTGTCTATAAACAATCTCCATTCTTCTGGGTTATAGTTTATATTTAAAGCCGCCAGTAAGCCGTTAAGTCTTTGTGGCGTTTACGAAAAACACATACCGAAACATCGTCTTCTAACAAGTTCCACTGCTGCAGTCTTGATCCAAGTAACTCTGCCTTACATTTTGGAAGTTTCTAATTCTCTTACAAGATCATTTAATTCTGACTGTGTTATTTTGTGCGGTTAGTGGCATGATGTGCTCGGTATAAAATCAGGATCTCTTGACGTTGATGGCATATCTTCTTCCTGACGAATCACTCGATCGCCATGATCTGATTCGTTTTCTGATTCGCAAGTGTAGGATTCTGGGGGTTTTGGAATAGGATTTTCGTCACTGTGAGGCACAGGTCTCATCGCAGATGGTATGTTTGGGTAGTTAATAACCGATTTTTTTTTTCTTGGACATACCTGTGGCTTGTCCAACACAAGGTACCATGCAACAGTAACAATCATTAATATGATTTGTAGGCTCTCTCCAAACCATTGGGACAGCAAAGCGCATAGACCGTTTTTGCCATTTAACCAGCTCCTCAGACTTGAAGCACATGTATTACAGCAGATGTGGGGTGCCCACTGTTTTTCTAGATCACCTAGTTTACAACCGAAATAAAGCTGATATGCCTTTGTTATAAGTGGAGTAATAGACCGTCTCTCAGACGCAAAAGTCACATCACCACACACGTAACAAAACTGATCTGGATTGTTTACACACTTTCGAGACATCTTGCATGACCGCTGTCAGCCAACTGAGGAAAAAATGGCTAATATAAAACAATATAATGTACACGTATGTATAACGTAACACAATCATGCCGATTACATCATCTTTCCTTGCCGAATATAAAAATGTACCACATGCATTCTTGTGAATTACAGTATATTAACACTGTCACAGCAGGAACACATATAATTACCGTATCTCTAAAACTTGAACTAATATTGAAAAAATAAGTTTCATTCCGGTTTTAGCACATTAAAAATAGTAATATTTTGTTGATTTTATTTAGGATATTTTTTGGTTGTTGATCAGTGTATTAACTTTATCAGTTATCCGAAATTGTTCTTCAAAAATATTAAAAATCTTTTTTTTGAATAGTGTCCCTATTCTTGAGAAACAGCGATATGTGGCTTCATTTAGCGACCACACAAACATGGAGGACTAATCAATAGTTTCTGCAGGCAGTACTTGAAAAAAATCATTCGTCCATTATTTCCATTTCTTGCAGATACGAGGACCGAACGCGTAGCGTCTACTCCGAAACCTACCTGAAACACGTGGACAGGCGGTGTTCGGAGTTCGGGTCCAGCCTCTGAGTGGATCTCACTAGTAGCCGGTTGACCACCACTAGCTTTTAGGTGGCGGATACGGCTACTAGTGACCCACACACCTTGATGGACTATCTTTTTCGGAAAACTACGATTCTGTCATCAATTATTAGCTTCCTATCCACACCGTTATACAATTAAAAAAATCCAACGTCAAGAACAAGATTCAGCAGTCATATTAAAACTTTTTCAAAATATGGTGAAAGCGCAAGCAATTCCTGTGTCTATACGAAAATATGGTGAAGGAGACGCTACGTTTTTAATTTATGCGGAAAGTTTTGTCATTTATAACAATGAATTGTAGATAAATAAAGATGTGTATTATTATTATTTATAAAGAAACGGCGTCTTTCAAAATAATTTTCATTACTGAATTTACTCCACTCATTTGAAATTACGTATGCATAATAGTCTAATCATATTAGCAAAGTTCCGGGAAATACTTATAGTCTGGTTTTATTGGTGCAAGTTGTTCAAGGGGTTCCTAAAGCATGGGCGCGGAAAATGGGCACACTAATTTTTATGGGAAAACTTTTTATACGACAACAAATAATGAGAAAACATGTTTTTTGAAGTTCAATCGAAACTGTTGACAGGAACGAAAAAACTTTCCTCATAAGATTTTTAGGTATTTGTGAGATCTACAAAATGAGATCACACGTAGAAAGATCCGACTAATAGCAAAAATGTTATGGCCGAAAAACGAGGCAAAATGCAGGTTTTGGCACTTGGTAATGCGACGATGGTTTCTCCCAAAAACCACGTTTTCTCATTCTTTGTTGTCGAGTAAAAAGTTTTCCATCACGAATCGGTGTACCAATTTTATGCGTCCATTTTTAAATACCCCCTTGAACTACTTGCAGCAATAAAACCAAGCTTTACAATTATTTCGAAAACAAAGGGTATTTTCGTCTAATGTGATTAGACTATCATGTTCAACAATGAAATACGTTTTTCTTCAATTGATGACAGAATCGTAGATTTCGAAAAATACTTTTACTTAAATTATGGTGCTGTTTTTTGTACACTCTAGTGTAAGTATTTCAATCTCTTTTTTAAGGCTAGCGATGACTCAAAAGTGTATAAAGTTAGATGTGTAAGTGTACATACGTATAGATATTTGCCAAAAAAAAAAAGTTACTTTAAATGAGTGATACTTTGACATTAACATACAATAAGTTTTGAAGTATTAATTATGCGTATTTCTGATGCGATCATCTTAAAACTTTACAAGAAAATAATATTTTTGACAATCTAGACAAAATTGGAAGCTATCAAGAAACACATAGTGTTTTACAAATTGCCAGTTGCAACTTCAGAAAGAATATGTACGATATTCAAAAATATAATTCAGAACAGAAAAATAGTCAGAAATATGCATAAATGCAAATGTATTTCGTTTTTCGAAAATACCGGATATATGCAAGTTAACTTTGCTCTTTGAACAATGGCTTGGCGGATTTTTGGCAGTTTCTAAATCAATAAAATATGTTTCTCATCGTAATTTATGATGAGCTTATGAATATAAATGTTGAAAACACTGTTCTTAAGAAGTTTTTTCTTTTATCTCTGCAGTTTAAGGCAAAATTTCAAATATAGAAAACTAATATATATAATATTACTTGTTTGAATGCTTGATGCCTAAAAGCCAAAGCCGTTAGAAAATATACAATCTGTATACATAAGGAAGTGTTCTGCATAAAAGACTGAGGAGAAAAGTTAACCAGCAAATTATTCAATACGAAAAATGATACAGAAGTGGATATTTTGACTACATACAAAACGTATAGCAATTACTGCATTTAAAAAAATATACATTTTGTGTAGCTGGATCTTCACATACAGCTGAACGAAAATATTAAAGAGAGGATATTATTTGAAATACTCTATGTACTTACTTATATACTAAGTGACATATAAATCCGAATACCCAGTTTAAATGGTTTTGTTTTAATAAAATTTTGTATAAGTACTTAATGAAGCATAATAAGTAAATGATAAAAATTTCAAAATGATTGCACTGCTTTAAAGCCCTTTGACCTTTAATAATGTGTGGATGCACCCTGATGTGCTACGCATTCTCCAACGCGCCTAGGCATGCTTCTGATCAGGTGGTCAATGTCCTGTGTGCTATCTCATTCCAGGTAACCACCAACTCCTCTCGAAGTGCTTCTAGAGTCTGAGGAGGACGTTGCAAATTGAGCAATCTCCTACCCATCATATCCCACACGTGCTCAATTGGGGATAAGTCGGGAGATCTTGGTGGCCATGGTAACAATGTGACATCATTATGTTGAAAGAAGTCTATTGTGACTCTTGCAACATGTGGTCGGGCATTATCTTGTTGGAAATTTGGATCTGCCAGGGTGTCAAGATAGGGTAAAAGATGGGATTCTAGAACTTCGTGGATATAACGCTGCGCGTTCATGTTACCTCTGATGAAGATTAAAGGTGACCTGGAACCATAAGCTATAGCACCCCAAACCATAACTCCAACAGTGTGATGAACATGTCTTTCAACAAAAAACTGTGGATTCCTCCTTTCACCACGTCGCCTTCTAACGCTGGCACGACCATCGTGCATGCCTAAACAAAATCGAAACTCGTCACTAAAGACAATACTGTTCCATTCCTGATCCCAGAGTGACCGTTGTCTGCACCACTCAAGGCGATTACGTCGGTGTAAGGGTTAGAAGGCGACGTGGTGAAAGGAGGAATCCACAGTTTTTTGTTGAAAGACATGTTCATCACACTGTTGGAGTTATGGTTTGGGGTGCTATAGCTTATGGTTCCAGGTCACCTTTAATCTTCATCAGAGGTAACATGAACGCGCAGCGTTATATCCACGAAGTTCTAGAACCCCATCTTTTACCCTATCCAGACACCCTGGCAGATCCAACTTTCCAACAAGATAATGCCCGACCACATGTTGCAAGAGTCACAATAGACTTCTTTCAACATAATGATGTCACATTGTTACCATGGCCACCAAGATCTCCCGACTTATCCCCAATTGAGCACGTGTGGGATACGATGGGTAGGAGATTGCTCAATTTGCAACGTCCTCCTCAGACTCTAGAAGCACTTCGAGAGGAGTTGGTGGTTGCCTGGAATGAGATACCACAGGAGGACATTGACCACCTGATCAGAAGCATGCCTAGGCGCGTAGCACATCAGGGTGCATCCACACATTATTAAAGGTCAAAGGGCTTTAAAGCAGTGCAATCATTTTGAAATTTTTATCATTTACTTATTATGCTTCATAAGTACTTATACAAAATTTTATTAAAACAAAACCATTTAAACTGGGTGTTCGGATTTATATGTCACTTAGTATAACTAGACGATCCTGAATAATCCAAAAGCTAAAATATCCACTTTTGTTTTATCGAAGATAATATTATAGGAAATGAATACAAGCATAGGCCAAAGACTTCTTTTAGCAATATTTTTTTAAGTGGTAATTGATCCTAGCGAATTAGTTGTATTTCTAAGCAATTCGAGCATAATTATTACAATACGCCATACTGTTGATACATCATGACAATGAGAGTTTTGCTGATAAGTCTCTGATTTTTCATTTCGTTTCACAATCATTTTTCATGTCTTAGTTTGAATTAGTAATGAAACTAATTTCGACAATGCGTTGTTTATTCTGTAAAATTTGATAACAGGCTGCTAACGTTGATCCTAATGCTTCCAATTTTTCTGTCTCATCAGTTTACGTGCGTGCCGGAAACCACAAGCATTTCTTCTTTGTCGATATTTTATATTCGACTTCGAAGTTAGGTCATTTATTTTAACAGTGATTAGATCTGATCAAAAGAAATGTTTTTTTCTTTTGCCATTTTTCTGGTAAAATTAAAGTAACAAAGTTATAGCCCTTTGGAAGTTTGAGTACCGCCCTGTCTCAATAATAATATTATGTGCTCGTGTTTGGCGACAACGGATATAATCCGCCGTATCGGTTCATCGCGTCGGAAACAAAAAAGCGAAAGAATTTGGAACGATGTTTTTACAATTATTTTATTCATTTGTATACAGTCAGTGTCAGTGAATAGTGTGTTGCGTGGCTCAAACGAAATAAAAAATGGCACATGTTTATGCGGATCGGTTTCCCAATCGAGTCCAACCAACCCCTCGTGCCTTTGTTAATGTAGTACAACGGGCTCGTGAATCAGGTGACTTAAGACCTCACAGGGGACCTCACGATCAAATACAGGTCCGCACTGAAATACTTGTCGGGAGGATACTTTATAAAACAAGGTAAATTTTTTTTTTTATTTTTACACACATATTTTGGTTTATCTTCCTTCTACAATCATTATCTGAAAATTAATGACTCAACTTCAAAGTCACCCTGTATATTGTGCTGAAGTAATCAATGGACGTACGTCGATGATAAAATCACGGCGTCAGGAACATAATGACAACAAATTTATATTATGATTTTGCGAAGTTAGGTTATTTCACTGATTATTTTTATTTTCATTTTATTGCATGGTTTAATAATAATTTCAGTGGGGAGTTTTTGTTTTGAAAAACAGTTATGAGTAGAATACCTTGAGATAGGAACACCAAAGACCAAAGTATTATTCGAAAACAACCTAACCTGCTTAAACATAACCTAACTATTTATCTTTCAAATATGATCGATCATGCAACATGAAAACGTCGTCTATCTTTGTTTGTCTCTGTCTAACATATCTGACGTCATCTTTCGTGATTTCGCTTATAAATTTGTAACTGATTGGTTTTGGAGCTTAAAGAATCAGTTTCCCGTTATAAAGTTGCCGACGATTTCCTTCTTCGGGGCTGTACAAAAAAATGTTCAATACACTAACTGTACATACAGGGTGTTTCAGAAATATAAAAAAAATCTAAGTCGCCTACTTTTCAAATTATAGACCTTGAAAAAAATTGGAAAAATATCTATCTGCTCGATGCTTAGTGCCACGTCATCCAATGAATTTGGTTAATGATTTTGTAGAAGCCTATAATTTGAAAAGTATACGACTTAGATGTTCGCTCTACTCCTGAGTCTCCGACCGATTGGGGGGGCGGTGGGAATTAGTCAGCAGTCTCAACGATATCCACAATATTTTATCAATTTTTTTTTTTTCGGAAGAATTGTTTTTGGCGCCCGTTCATCTTTATCATTTTTTTCCAAATTTGATTTCAAGTTCGCTAATAAAAACGATTAGATAAATAAATGTTCAATGTTATAAATGTCTTAACTGTGAAACAAAAATAAATAGGATGCAACATGGTTCTTTTTCGGAAAGAAAGAACTGTTAGCGAAATACAATCATAAAATTTAGGAGATACGAGCAATTATGTGTCGAATAATCATGATGACGTGTGTTATAGGTGATCGACCAATAGGATTACGTTAAAAAATCAAGCAATAACAGGTTTTTAAATTTTAATATCATCAGTATATATATCTACATCGAAAATAAGCACGAACCAAGGATATAAAGATGAAATCGTGCTGTCATAGTAACAAGCAGATGCGGCAACAATGCTTAGATTTGCGCTGTTGTCGTAGTTGGTTGTTGCTGTATTTCAGATGACGTCACAAAAAGTGACACAACTTCTATCTTTATATTCTTAAAAACTTGCCTCATGAACTGGAATGGAGATATATTCTTTGTCTGATGGTGAGTACATTTTTCAATTATCACAGAGCCAAAAAGTATGTATAATCTAAAGTTCTAAGAAAAAACTAATATCAGTTGTGAAGTTTATACGTTCACTGTTCTAAATACGAAAAAATATCAAAAATATGTTTTGGTGGCAACCTTGATGTGTTACTAGCTTTAAAACTTACTTTAATATAAACAGGGTGTCCCATAACTTCTTTCTACAGCAAACGTGTACATTTTGTGTTTTAAGATACCCTGTAAAATAGAAGGTAATTTCAACACTTTGTCCAGATGGGTGACAAAATTTTTGTGAACTGAGATTTATCAAAATGTCTTCAAAATGGCGGAGCTGCGAGCCTTGAAAGCTGGGCATTTTTTCAGACGTTTGACCAAACATCTTAACAATGGACAATCGAAATCATACGTTATATAATATGAAACTTAAGCTCTATTCAAATATGCAATAAAATGTAAGATGATAAATTTAAAATAGTATATGTTTGCTATGGCACGAGGTTAAGCACCCTGTATATATTAAAATAATTTTAAAATATGCACTAGTATCATATAAAAGTTGGCTCGAAAACAGTTTATTGATATCTTTTTCAGTTTGCTCTTAAAACTACTTTCTATCTTCGTCGGTATATGACCTAGAACACAGCACTGAGTATATCCCATTGCAGTTCGATTTTTTTTTTTCAGGTTATATTGAATTTCATCCGTTTTTCGCCCAGTAGATAGCATATGATTCGGTGAATGCTATAATGTCAACAGTGGCTCCCCAACTAGCAAAGTAGTGGTATAAGCTTTTGGTAAAAGAACCGTTCAGCCTTAAAAGCTCTCTATCGTTGTTGCCTGAACACCAAAATGCTGGCTTAATGTTGTGTGGAATGCAAATTTGCTTTCTGCAACATATTCGCTCTAAAATGAGGTGTTTAAAATATTCTTATAGCATAGTTATACAACACCTTATAGGACAAATTTTTAACTGTTGCGTAAACGTTTATACAACTATTTTATACGGCATATTTGCAAGTTAGTCGAAATGGTTATGTTGTGGCATCCATGGTAACGTTTATAAAACAAACCCGAGCCTTTTTGTTTTGCTGTGCAATTTACTACCTTAGCCAACAAATTGCTCCCAACGGAAGCACTTATACAACTGTTGTTTAGTAACTGTTAAAGGCTGTACATATGCTAAATATGTTGCTATACAACTTCACCATAACCTAACTTTCTGCTGTCATATTTTTGTTAAAATGCAATGTTTTAAGACAAACAACGCATGCATATTGAGGTTTTATCAACTGCTCAAACAGAAGATATAGATCTGGTACAAATTCTGGGTAAATCATTCGACTATGTCGGTATTTCATTTCAGACATTTGTCAAATTGTTGTATAACACCTGCAGGCAACACCAAAATATTCTAATAACCTAAAGATAACATGGTCGATGCCATGATTGTACACAACCACCCGCCATATTGGGCGAACATTTATTCCTCTATTTAATATTAAATAATTATGTTTCAGTTCGAAATTACAGATATAAAGTGATAAACATTAGTGTAATTGTGTCTAAATATTGGATTTGTGGAAGATTTAATGCAGATAAGTTCAGTTTTCCATCTTAAAAATCTAGACATACTTTTGATCATTGTCAATGATCTATGAATCAAATACCAAGCCCGTAGAAATTGGGTACATCACAATAAAATTTGCTGCGCAAGTAATTCAATAGCCCTATATCAAAGTGTAGAAGTTTATCATATACCTGTGCATGAAATTCACAATGGCCGATATGTAAGTAAACAAGATGACTGTAAAGTACTGGTAATATATTCTTCACTTCGTCTATACAATACATAAGAAATAGTTCGGTTGCAATAAAGTAGGATCACGTAACAGAATAGTTGTATAGTTGACAAAAACTGAATCTTGCACTGACGCAAATGTCCTATAGCGGCTACAAGAGGCTTACACTTTTGTTTTATAACTGTTACCTGCAGCCCTTATACAACCTCTTAAATGACTGAAGTGTCCTACTAGGTGTGCCCATTCCGCTTGTATAGCTGTTCTAAGGGGGTTTTGCCAATGTTCTTACAGTATACAATGCTGTTTAAGGAATACTGTATAATCATTCTTGCAACTCTAATAGGAGTGTTAATTTTTAGTTGGGTTCTTTTAGAAAGAAGGAAATTTTAATTATAAATCAGAAGTTTCCCTTGAAAAGAATCAACGTAAAGAATTTGTAAGCTCAAGCTTTCAAAATTTTAAACCCCAACCTTCAAATTTCGATTCGCCTCACTACAAGAGTTTTAACTGAACTCTGCCAAAAAAGCTGTTGGTATTATAAGTAATTTCAACGAATACAAACCTCACCCCAACTTACTATACGGGTATCTATCAAAAAATGTGTAAATAATCTACTGGGGTATACTGATACTTGTATAAAACTATAAGCGATAGAAAAATTGATGTTTGTAAATGTTTCATGTGAAATAGGATAATCTATCATCTACATCTTACCTACTACATTCTTTCTACTAATAAGGTTTTACTTACTGGTTTTGTATGTGCATTGAGTACCCAACTTTTTACTGGTATATATATTTTTAGACTTTCCACTAGAATTCTTGAATAACTTTTAACAAAATTGTTGAGATGACGGAGATTAAAAAATATGCGGTGATACTATTTGCCATGCCATTATATTTCAATTAAAACTTTTAATAACAATGATATTCAAATCAAAGAATATTTAACGGTACATATTTATTTTCAACGTTCCACAAATTATGAACTGAATAATTTATTTTACGTATACGTATAGTTCGAAAATATATCCGCCAGTAAAATATTTGTACATGATTTTTGTTTGCTCTGTTGAAATTAGAAATCACAGCAGTAATTTCAGCGTAGTGTTTTTTT